CCGCAGCTGCGTTTCCCTGACCAGCAGCAGTTCCCGGGTACGCTGACACCCCGGATTCCGCATCTGCTCTTGCCGTAACTCCGCCACCACGTCTGCAAGATGTGCCGTGGTCTTTTTAACCCTCTTCCTTTCCTCCTTCATGTACGAGCGCAGGCCCGAGTTAAGTCTGCCCAGCAGCAACTCAAAATCCCCTTCACCGCTCGCCTCTGCCTTGGCGAGTGCGGCTTCAACAGCTTTTCGGACCCCCGGCCTTCCAATGGCTGCTGCATGTAACCTCCAGATTCCTGGCCCAAGGTGAGCAGTTGCCTTTACTTTGAAAGCAACTTTGATGGCAAAACCGTGATCTGAGATGTACTCCTCAGGCATGGTGTGAGCAGCAATCTCAAGGTGCGGCAGAAGGGAGCAAGAGACTAGTGCGCGATCTATTCTAGAGCTTGACTGCTTTGAGACGGCATAAAAGGTAAACTCTTTCAGTTTGGGTGCAGTGTGCGGAAAGCGTCCGAGAGTTGAAAGCGGCTGCAGCGCGAGATGAGCCTGTCGTTCTCGAGAGATGAGCCTGACTGTGACGTCCTATCTAACGTCGGATCCTCTACTGTGTTCAGGTCCCCGATCATGACAACATGAGCCGTGGACGGAATGAGATCTATGGCGGGGCCGATGACATTGGCTAAGAAGGAGCAGCGGTTAGTCGCGTCAGCGGGTAGTCGCGTTAGCGGGAAAGTACACGGCTAGGAGCGTCAGGGTGAAGCCAGGGCGACTAACTTCAGCAGTTATCAGTCTACCTGATGGGTGAGTGCTAACCCGGTTAATGTTGATGGATGGATCTCTTGTAAGCACTGCAACACCTTCGGCTTTAGCAGTGGGTGGGGTGGTTAGAACTGTGGCGAAAGAGGTTGTTTTCCAATATGGGTGGTCATCTGGTAGTCTAGTGTCTGAGAGGATCAGTACGTCTACTGCTGTTCTTGTCCATGTAGTTACTCTAGATTGCTTTGTCTGGTCACCGAGGCCGTTGACGTTCAGGCCTGCTAACGAGAAGAAATTCTTGTTACTCATTTATTCACCAACTGGCAGCCCCACTTCATCCACAGGCTGGAAACAAGAACAACTCCGACTACTGACACCCATCCGGCTATTGCTACGAAGACATGCTGCTCGCTGAACCAACTCAGATCCCGTAGTCGTTCTTCAGGTTGCGGAGGACCATCCTGCCGACCGTGACTTTGGTTGCAGTACCCAACTTCTCCAGGTTCAGCAGGTGGGTTGCAGATGCAATGTGATCTGAAGCAGTCATGAAGGTCTTCCCTTTGGCTTTCCCGCAGCAAACTTGCGTGCAGATCCATTCTTCGCGGTTTCCGCCGGTGGAAATAAGAGCAACCGCGGGATCTTTCAGGATGGGGGTGATCAAGGCGGAGGTGCGCAAAGAGGCAGCTGCGACGATAATGCGAATTGTCAGTAAGCGTAAGAGAGATAGTGTGTGAGACGTCTGCTGTAAACTGGTCCGTGCAGTTACCGTTGATGCGATGAATATTTCCCAAGGTCAAAGACCACTTCCCTATATTGTTCTGTCTCTCGGTGACGAACAGATCATGATAAATCTCATAATGCTGTCCGCCGCAGAGGGAGCAGGACAACTCAGGATAGTGAACCAGCAGCTTCGCGCCAACCTCCATCGGGTTGTCAACAATATGGCGCCAGCGATACCGGTCCCCAGGGTGCAGGGTGACCAGTCCTTTCACCACGTCAGTTTCAGCGCCAGTAAGCGGATGAGCAACTCGATGGAAGCAGAAACCATCCTTGAAAGCCGTCTGATTCCCCATCTTAAGCTTAAAACGGACAAGAAGATCCTTCAGCACGTCAGGTACAATGTTAGCCGGGACCCGCTTAAACAGAACTTCAATCGCGAGCGGGTTGGACGACTTCTCCCTGAGGTAAGAGGAGTCTTCAATATGCTGCCAGAGACACTTCACTGACGGACCGTTTGTCTTCTGATATTCAAAGGTATGAAACTTGATGTGATGCGCGTCGCGCTCATCGAGGAAAGATATATGAAGACGGCAGAAGCGAGTCTTGGCCACATAACCAGATGTCATCTCCTGTATATTGGCGGTGACACCCGCATTTTCCGTAAGTGAGCCGCTCGATACCTTCTTCATCAAAACGCGGAGTGCAGCAATGATAGCTTTAACTTCCTGAGACAGCGCCATTGGGATCAGTAAGATTGCAATAAAGCGAAGACGAAAAGCAGCCTCTTTTGCAATGTCAATGTCAAGTTCCTCGTCCGAATCATCCTCTAGGAAACCCTCTTCCAATCCTCGTGCGATATGCTGCGTGTTCGCCATTTCTTACACAGTTAAGCCAGAGCAGCCAGCGATGGCAGCGTCAACAGCAGCAGCAGACGGGAGGGTGACATTGACCGCATCAGTCTTGTCCGTGCTTCCAGAAGCATTCTCCCCCGCAGGTACCGGCGCATCATTCTTGTCAGTCAGCGGGACATTGACACCATCAGGCGAATACGCATCAAGCTTGACAGGAGAGTCAACAGCAGGCGGTGTGACGTCCACAGGAGCCTTCGCCGGACGGCCCTTGGGAGGCATGGTGCGATGATGAATCTAAAAAAGCAGCAGTTGTGATGAAAAAAGCTTCAAAGAGGAAACGATGAACCGTGAAGCTTGAGCTGCGGAAGAACTGAGCACCACCTCCTTAAGTAGTAACCAGAACGCTCGAGACCTGATCTCCTGAGCGATATGTTGCGTTCCCGCGGTTGAGACCTTGGGAGTATGATGAGCCTGCTCAGCATTGGAGTTAGATGCTGGTAATGCCAAGCCTTGGAACTAGTCAGCAGGAGGATCCCTGAGTTCATTGTTGTAGTTGTCCAGTGTCTTCTCTTGTCCAGGTGAAGGCTGTTGGTGTGGCATGAAGCTGATGGAGCCACGTTGAGCCTCGTACGGGACAAAGGTAGGTTACTGCTGGTTTCCGCGCGCATAGGATGAACCGTCAAGACTCATTGGAGTAACCCCATTGTTATTGTCGCTGTTGTTTGATTGCGCAGGTGCTGTTTGCTGGTGCTGCTCGTAGAAGGACATGAAGGAGAAAAAAATTTCCATCATGCTTAGGTCGAAGCCTGTTGCCTGGTTCGCAGGAGTTTCAGTAGACTCAGCTGCTGGTCTTGTCGCTGTGCCTCCTTCCGTCTCTAGGCCAGAGGCTGGAGGTGCAGTAGGGGTGGTGCCGGGAGAGCCGTTAGAAGAGCTTCTCTCCTTCTGTGTTGCCATATCTTCTGTTGTTGTAGGAGTGTTAATGGAGTTGGATCTTGCCTTGTGTGCTCTCATACCATGTTGGGCTGAGAAAAGCCCTTAGGATCTTTCCAAGGCTAAGATCCTGAGTAAGAATGATGTAGTTGCGGAAGCGTTCTTAGTGAACTTTGTTGAACCAACTTGCACTAGTGTGTGAGGGCAAGAGATTGATTATAGCAAGGTAATACAAAGGCTTTTATAATATTACAAGGAATACGTAAAGGTACAACTAACTGTTTTGCTGTTGCTGTTGCGGTTCGATACAGTGACGACTCGGGCAACTGCTCAATACCGAGTCAGTTTTTTGTTCTTGCTGTATTTTGTCGAGTCAAAGGTCCCTGACCTTTGACCTTCGCGTAACCTCCAGCTGTTACTTTCTGTCAACCTCCTTAGTTGACTCGCCGTTGCTCCGCTGTAATTCGCCTAGTTTACGGTCTATTGTTTCGACACAACAGGAGCGTTAACATGCTTGTTTCCAACAGGCTCAATATTTTAACATCCCAAATACATGTTAACATCCATTTGCTGTACGTATATTGACAATAAATGGTTATAGAGTGAAAAAAGATTGAATATATATCTTGAAAACATTACAGTTGAAATGTGCATGATTCGCAAACGGGAATCGCTATGCGTGGTGAGTGCGAAGGTTTTCGCACTGGTGTGCAATTATAGAGGAAATGACGGACCGCCCTGTTTTCTGGTTTCCAATTCCTTTCGGCAGTGGTTTTGACACCACCCCGCTTCGCGCTCGCGTCCGATTCCTTGGGGCAGTTTTTTCCGACATTTCTAATTTCTTGTGACGATGGCAATTATGAAGACTACCTGGTTTCAGTTTAATAGCCACTGTAAAAAAATAAAACCCACTCGGAAGGCTGGCCATTTGGGAGGCATCAACCCTAAACACCTTGCCTCATGGTGTTTAGGGTTGATGCCTCCCGAATGGCATGCCATCCAAGAGGGGTATATATTTTTTTGTTCAGCGCTGCTAGTTTATAAAGCGACGCTTGATTGGGAATATCCCCATAAATAAAAGAATTTTTTATTGGTAGGACTCGGGAAGGGAATTAGCGAAGTTATCGGCCCGAAGGTATCGGACGCGAGCGCGAAGCGGGGTGGTGTCAAAACCCCTGCCGAAAGGAATCGGAAACTGGAAAACAGGGCGCTTTGTCATTTCCTCGCAATTATAGCTCGGCCGCACATGCCGCGCAACTCGTGAATCATGATCGCCCCAGTTCCCTTCATTCGATCCCCACAACAAAAACCTTGCACCACGCCTGACCGCGGATAAACTTCTCTTACCCACTGGTTTTCTTTTTCCCTCTCACAGAACCCAACCGCGCCAGGAAACCAACCAGCACATTCACATGTTTCATAATTTCGATGTGCGTCACAAACACACCAGAGCATTAGCAAACTTGGTTGCCAGAGCATAGCGATAAGCGCCGCATTCGACGGTACTATGAGGCACAGCAATCGAACGAGGCGCTACGAGAGGCATCATGGGGATGAAACGCCTCATCTGATGTCGAGCCGCAACATTCCAGCGAAGTCTGCACTCGGCACTCGCGCTAGCGTATTTAACGCGGAGGAAGTTGGAAACAACTCATTCACCTCCAGTACTGCTAGTAACAGCAGTTAAACCAATTAAGTACCAGCCCCTTCAGCGATTCTTTCCCATCTCATCAGATTGCCATATCGAAATCTATCATGGGCGCGCTTCGCCATCGCTTTCTGCTCGCGCTCGTCCTCGTGGCGTCTCTAAACTTCCTCGCGGTTTTCGCGGCGCTGCCTCCGCCGGATGGGTACTACGGCGCGAGTGAGCCGGCGCTGGAAGAAGCATACGACCAGCGCGCGCTCCTGGAGGCCGAAAGCGATGCCTCGCTTGACTCCGTTGACTTCGACTCCGTTGACTTGGAGGACCCGCGGGTGCTTCTCACGGTGGCGGATGCAGCGGCGGACTTGAAGCAGACGTCGGACGACCTCAGCGGCAGCGTGAAGAAAGCTCTCGGGCAGGCGGGGAGGAACGTGCGCAACTCGGTCAGCTCCATGGTCGGAGTCCCGCCCAAGAACGGCAAGAAGAAGCACCACCGCCGCGGCGGGAAGAAAACTGCGCGCCGCGGCGGGAAGAAAACTGGGCCCGCGGGAGCTCGTAACCGAAACTCGGGCGCGGCAGTCCCCAAGGCGTCCGCTGCGGGGGTTCCGAAGAAGCAGGGGGCGGGAGGTAAGCTCAACTCCGGCGCAAACCCCAAAAAGCCCGCTGCTGCCGCAGATGGCGCGACGGGAGTTCCTAAGAAGCAGGAGGCGGGAGCTAAGGACACCTCGGGCGCAGCACCCAAGTCACCCGCTGCTCCCGCTGCTGCAAACGAGCCGCGCGCGCTCCTCGAGGCGGCCGACAGCGATGCCGTGATTGACTCCGTTGACTCGTTTGACTTCGACTCCGTTGACTTGGAGGACCCGCGGGTGCTTCTCTCGATGGCGGATGCAGCGGCGGACTTGAAGCAGACGTCGGACGACCTCAGCGGCAGCGTGAAGAAAGCTCTCGGGCAGGCGGGGAGGAACGTGCGCAACTCGGTCAGCTCCATGGTCGGAGTCCCGCCCAAGAACGGCAAGAAGAAGCACCACCGCCGCGGCGGGAAGAAAACTGGGCCGGCTAAGAAGCACCACCGCCGCGGCGGGAAGAAAGCTGGGCCGGTGGGAGCTCGTAAGCGCAACTCGGGCGCGGCAGCCCCCAAGACGCCCGCCGCTCCCGGCGCTGCTGGCGGGAAGGGGGTTTCGAAGAATCAGGCGGGAGGTAAGCTCAAGTCCGGCGCAGCAGCCCCCAAGACGCTCGCCGTTCCCGCTGCTGCCATGGCGGCCGCCCTGAAGGCGCAGGCGCCGGGAGCAAAGGGCACCTCGGGCGCAGCCCCCAAGCCCACCGCTGCCAGCAGTGCTGCGAGCAGTGCTGCGCCCGGCATTTGATTCGACAAGCAGCCAGCAGACGTGCAATGGAGGAGCAGAGGAGGGCGGCAGGGCGGCAGGGTGGCAGGGCGGCTTGGTCCTTCTACACAGGGAGATGCGGCGAATGGCAACCGAATGACCCGCTCTAATGCATGGGGAAGGGGGGGCTCTAGAAGGCCCGTTGCTTGTGATGTGGCGAGCTTGTGGCAGTGCTACCGTTCCGTGTGTGTGTCTGTGTGCTTGTGTTCTCACGTGTAGAGAGGGTGTTTTTGAGACGTCTCAGAAAACACCCTCTCTACACGAGCTTGTGGCAGTGCTTCCGTTCCGTGTGTCTGTGTGCTTGTGTTCTTTTTGAAAACACCTCCGTGAGGGAGGTGTGGTGGGTAGGAAATAGAAGGCAAGAGATGGGCTGCAAGGATAGAAGGGGGTAGGAAAGAAAATTGACGTTTCTGCTTTGCTTGTGCTTTCTTTGCATCTCAGGGTTGATGTATTGCATGTGGTGGGCTTTCATAGTGCAATTTGTGGTTCAATACCAATGTTTCAGATCAACCAGGCTACTAAAGAGATGAGGCAACAAAATGACCCATACCTTTACAGCTTAGCACTGGCTTTATCGGTCAGCTCCATTTTTTCCTAATATTTTCAAACCAGATTGTTGCTGCTCCATTGTCACTTTATTTGGGGGAAGTTCAGCAAGTGTTGGTTGGGTATGGGTTATTTCTAGATGGCTGATTCTTCCCTGGATGGAAAGTCCTAGTTCGGCACGGTCACTGGCACTGTTACAAAAGGACCAGAACGACGACCGACTTCTTTCTTCCTCTAGCCTATGCTCATCATAACTAAGTTTGTTCTAAGACGTCTAATAACGAGTGCAGGCACCGGCTACAGTCACTCTGCCTCTTCAATGACCTCCTGCACCGAATTAACCTGCATCCGGACACACAGGCAGACACGGGGAGACACGGGCAGACACGGGCAGACAGGGGCAGACACGGGCAGACCAGGGCAGACACGGGCAGACACGGGCAGACACGGGCAGACACGGGCAGACCAGGGCAGACACGGGCAACACGGGCATACAAGGGTGGTCCAGGGCAGAGCAGTGAGCTGATGTGAGTGAAGCAGGCCAAGCGTAATGCATGAACATTATTATACACGACAAACACTCAGCATTCATTACAATTATGCCCCTATTCAACACCACATTCGACTCCGAAGCACAGTCCACGAGTACCATTCCCAACCCGCTCTCTAGAGTCACAAATGGGGAGAGGAGGAGAAATGGTATGCCTTCATTTCATTCACTGTTATCACATCCGTTCTCCACTCCACTATTTATTGTTACAGACGGGGAAGAACATGGTCCACCATTATAATCACGTCCATTAAGCTCACCTCTGGAATGTAGTGTGTGAGAATGTTCTCCATGCCGCTCTTTAGAGTCACAGAGGAGCTCCGGCAGCCACTGCAAGCCATTCACTATAATCACACCCGTTCTACTAACCTCTGGAATGTAGTGTCTGAGCATGTTCTCGACGCCGCTCTTTAGAGTCACGGAGGAGCTCGGGCAGCCACTGCAGGCGCCTTTCATGCGCAGATAGACGATTCCCGTGGCCCTGCGGGGGTGGGTGGCAGTGAGGGGAGGGAGGGCACAACAATGAGGGTTGGATTAAGAAGGGCGCCATGGCTTGAACAGCCCCTGCAAGCGCCTTTCATGCGCAGATACACGATTCCCGTGGCGTGGACGTGGGATCATGCTTGGTGAGGCATAAGAAAAAGGCCTGGGCAGGCACTGCAAGAGGGTGACGTGGCAAGGCGATGATGTGGCAAGAGGGTGACATGGCAAGAGGGTGACGGCAAGGCGATGATGTGGCAAGAGGGTGACATGGCAAGAGGGTGACGTGGCAAGGCGATGATGTGGCAAGAGGGTGACATGGCAAGAGGGTGACGTGGCAAGGCGATGATGTGGCAAGAGGGTGACATGGCAAGAGGGTGACGTGAAGCGCTCACTCGTCAAAGTCAACAAAGTCAATGTCCCCTCCGTCCTCCTGCACTGCCGGTCGAATGCGCGTCTCCAGAAGCTCCCTTATCATCAGCACCGTCTCACTCTCGTCCTGATGGGAAACGGGTGTTACAAAACGGAGGAGAAAATGGAAGGAGTGAATGGAAAAGATCCCCCCCACACCAATCTCCAGGAGCTCCCTTATCATCAGCACCGTCTCACTCTCGTCCCGATGGGAAACGGGTGTGTGTGTGAAGTGGGGAGGTGTGATACTAGATAAGAAAAGAGAGGAGCAGCTACGAATCAGTCTCAGCAGCTCCCTTGTCATCAGCACTGTCTCACTCTCGTCCTGAAGGGCAACGTGTGTGTGTGTGAAGTGGGGAGGTGTGATACTAGATAAGGAAAGAGAGTAGCAGCTACGAATCAGTCTCAGCAGCTCCCTTGTCATCAGCACTGTCTCACTCTCGTCCTGATGCAATGTGGAAGGGGGAAATTGTTGGGAGAAGTGAAGTCAGGAGGGGTTGGGAGGAATTGGGAGCAGTTATAAAGCAGTCCCCTGCAGCTCCCATATCATCAGCACCGTCTCACTCTCGTCCTGATGCAAAGTGAATGGGGACAAGGGGAAATAGCCGGGTTCAGTTGGGTGAGGAGGAGTTCAGTTTGGAGGAGAAGCACTCACCGACAGCTCATGTATCATCAGCACCATCTCACGACCAACCTCTACTCCCATCCATTGCCACCGCACCACACCTCAACACACCGATTTCTACCACTGCGCCTCTACTGATATGCCATTTCCCCCACCCCACCTCTGCCTCTCCCTCATTCCCTTATCCCCTCACTCCCCCCATCCCATCACTCCCTGCACAGCACCTCTGCTGGCTGTTGCTCCCCACCAGCTGCAGCCGCCTCTGCCTGGGGGTTCAGCACCTCACCTCTCCACCACACCTGTATACTGCAACGATTCCCCACCCCACCTCTATCTCGCCTCAACTTTCAGCCGCACCTCATCACACCACTTTCCCCCACTGCGCCCTTTACTGATAAGCCATTCCCCCCACCCCACCTCTATCTCACCTCACCTTTCTCCATTTCCACGATTCCCCACCCCACCTCTGCTGGTTGTTGCTCCCCGCCAGCTGCTGCCGCCGCTGCCTGTGGGTTCAGGACCGCACCTCTCCAACTCACCTCTCTATTCCTGCAATTCCCCACCCCACCTCCATCTCCTCCCTGGGGGTTCAGCACCGCACCTATCCAACTCGCCTCTCTACTCCTGCAATATCCTGAGGTTGTTGCTCCCCACCAGCTGCTGCTGCCTGTGCATGGGGCTCAGCACCTCATCTCTCTACTCCTGCAATTTTCCACCCCACCTCTGTCTCACCTCACCTTCTCTACTCCCATCACTGCCCCCCACCCCACCTCTGCCGGTTGTTGCTCCCCGCCAGCTGCTGCCGCCTCTGCCTGGGGGTTCAGCACCGGCTGCCCGGAAGCAAAAAAGTCCATCAGGGCAGCGAAAATCTCTGGCTTGAGGAGATCCCAGGAGCTCTCCTCCGTTTTAGTCACCGTGACAAAGTCACCTCCCAGGAACACCCGTGCTACACCTGCGAAATGGTGGAGGGATGGTGGAGGGATGGTTGAGGGATAGTGGAGGGATGGTGGAGGGATGGGGATGGAGAAGCATCAGTGGCAGTCGTAGTGGCAGTGGCAGGTCAGGCGAAATGTTTAGTGCGATTGGACAAAAATAGAATTTATTACCATCAATGCGGAACAATGCAATTGCAAGCGGAGACGCTAGGGCAGCTCGGGCAGAAGAAAACTCGATGGATGATGGAGAAGAGGGCTGATCCTCCGATGAAGAGGAGGAAGACAGAGAAGGGGAGGAGAGGATGGGGCGGCCAGGGTTGAACATGAGGGAGGCGGGGTTGGGAGTGGTGAGGGTTTGAATGAACATGAATCGCCGCTGCTGGTGCTGATGTAGCAGCACATGTTGCTGGGCAGGGTGATTGCGGTGGTGGTAGTGCAAGGAACGCTGCTGGTGAGAGTGGTGTCGGTGCAGCTGCTTAGCTAAGTGCTGGGGTTGTAGATGGTGCAGGGAGAAGCGGCGATGCAGGCAACGCAGAGAGGAGCCGGCGGTGGTGGTGGTCGCAGTGGTGGGAGTGGTAGCAGTGCTAGGAGTGGTGGGAACGGTGGGAGTGGTGGGGGTGGTGGTGGAAGTGGCACGGGTAGCGGTGGTGGTGGGGGTGGGTGCAGCAGCAGCATCACAGGGGAAGAACGAGCAGCCCGCCGCAACATGACCCGCAGACAGGGCAGCAGCAGGAGCAGCCAGAGTAGCGGAAGGAACGGCAAATCCAACGGTGTGAGGCGGTGCTAGCAGCCTCCACACGCTCAGCTGTTGAGACGCCGACATCCCAGCCGGCAAAACAGAGCGGAGCGGAGCAGAGTAGAGACGAGGAGCAGAGGAGAGATTAGACGAGCCGAGTGGAACAAGGGAAACGCTAGCGGAGTGGATTCAACCAACGGAAAAGGCGTTATTGGAACGGAACAAATCGAGATGATCGGATCGGATTCTGCAAGATAATCCAATCGAATCCAAGACGATTCAATTTCTCCCTAGACAGCTGACGAGCAGCTGCCACTTGCACCCCCACAGCGTTTGCGATCACGCAGCTTTGCGGAAGTGCGCTGCAGCAGACAACTTCTGAACTGCTACTATGGTAACAAAACACGCGATTTGAAAGATAGCTTTGCGAAGCTCGTTCTAACAACGATATGGCCGGGCCCTTTCCCTATTGACATGAATGACTTGACTGACTTGACTGACATGACTGAATTGACAGACTTGTCTTGACTTGAACTTACAGCTTTTCTCGCCGACATGTCGGGACAGAGATCAGCAGCGTCAGTTTATGGGGACGGACTTTATGACGGACAGACGACGCTGCTGTTGATTCTTTTCTGTTTCCCCTTTTTTTTCCGAACCTTGGGCTCGAAGAAGCGGAATTTACGGCAACGGGAGGACCCGATCTCTACGCGCTGCGACTGGCTTAGTCGACTCAACGATCCTCTGAAACGGGAGCGGAGCGCGGGCGGAGTCGGAGCGGAGGAGCGGAGGATGGAGTAGAGCGGAAAGGCAAGCTGTTTTGCGAGTGGGAGTGGGATATCGAAACAAGAGCGCGCTCGAAAGTTTGTTTTGCGAGTCGGTTGCAAAACAAACTGCGTTTTCTAGCAGCATTTACAGTTTGATGACACCTCGTGTTACGCGTTTGAGCATTCGACCTGCGGACAAAACGTGTTTTTCGCCAGCTGCAACGAAAACTGCCGAGACCAGAATCACGAGATCCTCCGTCTGAACACGGCCTGGACTCTGTTTACGAACTGTGATTTCATTGCTTTCTCATTTCTCCTACATCCAGATTCCTGGTTCTTGTTTCCACCGTCGTTCCGTTCCATTTAGATTCAGTCACGAGTCGCATCAGCGTGTCGCTGTCACGTGAGCCTGCACGGGTCCAATCTCGTCTGGGGAATTTCGTAGAATTCGTTTTGCTTACTAGCTCCCGTTTATCACGCAGCTCGGCTGATCCATCCTGTGTGTCTCTGTGCCGCAAATCGTGATCGTTGCGGTGCAGATCCATCAGCAACGGCAAAGTGCGATTAGAAGGTCATAAGCACGAAAAAGGGGAGATTGGGAGATTAGAAGCCCTTTTTCTTAACAAGCTTTCTGCGGATTGGGAACGCTGCGATTTAGATTCACCAGGCTCCTGAAGCGGCGGAACCATTAATACTAGTATTAGTCGAGGGAAGGTTGTTAGGAGCGGCCATGGCCCATCCGGGTCAGTGCAAGGACGAGGCATCGGGACTTGAGAAGGTGGTTCTCAGACAGGCTGGCGGCGCGACAGCGGAGGTAAGCGTAGTATAGCGCAGATGTGAGCGTTTAGCGCAGAGGTAAGCGTGTAGCGCAGTGAACGTCTCTTGAGACGCCTCAAGCCCACCCGGGTCAGTGCAAGGACGAGGCATCGGGACTGGAGAAGGTGGTTCTCAGACAGGCTGGCGGCGCGACAGCGGAGGTAACGTAGCACCCGAGCTTGGCGGTAATAATCCTTGTTTGACCGTCGAGCTTGTGCTTTTTCTCCTTAATCAGCCTCGTATAAGGAAAGAGGACAGACGCGTCGGTGAATGGCACGTACACGGCACCGCCGCATTCTGAATGTCAGAGTGCGTCGTGTGCGTGGCACGTCGTGTGCGTGGCACGAATTACTGAAGCCCTCATTTCAAATTGACACCTTTCCGTTCCTCAAGCCGTTTGTACCGTTTAATCTGGCCTCGTAGTGCTCGGGCAGTATCAGTGATTCATTCGGTCCGCTTAATTTGCGTGCACGAATCCATGTGGTAACCCTGTAACCTCAGGTGTTTTTCCACGGCGGACACGTCACCTCGTGGAAGCACGACGGCAAGGAGGAGAACCTCTTCATGAGCAGCAAGGTCGGTATGCTCTGAGACACCTGAAAGCTTGAGAGCCTCTTGAGCCATTTGAAAACATAGAAAGCCTTTTGAGAGCAACGTCACCTTGTGGAAGCACGACGGCAAGGAGGGGAACAGCAAGGTCACCTTCATGAGCAGCAAGGTCGGTATGCTCTGAGACATCTGAATTCAGAGGATCATGGTTTTCCCTCTTTTATGGGCATCAAGATGACAGTTCTGATGACTATATCACGTTATTGGCATTCTCTTGCAGCGTATAGGCAGGCTTGGCACCAGGAAGTGCCTAACTTTAGACGCATGTGGTGGATTGTTTGTTGTTTTCCTTTTTTCAATTAGGGGTTACTAGGGGTTACGAGTGGTGCAATCAATCAATCGAGAAGACTGATGTTACTCAATCCCTTTCCCTCTCGCACGCTTGCATGCGCTCTCCCATGCACATCTGTTTACAGGCGATCTTCAAGCCACCCAAGGCAATCCGGGGCGGCATTCCAGTCTGCTTCCCTCAGGTGTGCTAAGCAGCTCGCCAGCTCACCAGCTCGCCAGCTCACCAGCTCACCAGCTCACCAGCTCACCAGCTCACCAGCTCACCAGCTCACCAGCTTACCAGCTCACCAGCTCACCAGCTCACAAGCTCACAAGCTCACCAGCTCACCAGCTCACCAGCTCACCAGCTCACCAGCTCACCAGCTCACCAGCTCACCAGCTCACCAGCTCGCCAGCTCACCAGCTCACCAGCTCACCAGCTCACCAGCTCGCCAGCTCACCAGCTCGCCAGCTCACCAGCTCACCAGCTCGCCAGCTCACCAGCTTGCCAGCTCACCAGCTCACCAGCTCATCAGCTCACCAGCTCATCAGCTCACCAGCTCACCAGCTCACCAGCTCACCAGCTCACCAGCTCGCCAGCTCACCAGCTTGCCAGCTCGCCAGCTCGCCAGCTCACCAGCTCACCAGCTTGCCAGCTCACCAGCTCGCCAGCTCGCCAGCTCATCAGCTTGCCAGCTCACCAGCTCACCAGCTTGCCAGCTCACCAGCTTGCCAGCTCACCAGCTCGCCAGCTCGCCAGCTCGCCAGCTCGCCAGCTCACCAGCTTGCCAGCTCACCAGCTCACCAGCTCACCAGCTTGCCAGCTCACCAGCTCGCCAGCTCGCCAGCTCGCCAGCTCGCCAGCTCGCCAGCTCGCCAGCTCACCAGCTCACCAGCTCACCAGCTCGCCAGCTCACCAGCTCGCCAGCTCGCCAGCTTGCCAGCTCACCAGCTCACCAGCTCGCCAGCTCACCAGCTCGCCAGCTCGCCAGCTCGCCAGCTCACCAGCTCGCCAGCTCGCCAGCTCGCCAGCTCACCAGCTCACCAGCTCACCAGCTTGCCAGCTCGCCAGCTCACCAGCTCGCCAGCTCACCAGCTCGCCAGCTCGCCAGCTCATCAGCTTGCCAGCTCACCAGCTCACCAGCTCGCCAGCTCGCCAGCTCACCAGCTTGCCAGCTCACCAGCTTGCCAGCTCACCAGCTCGCCAGCTCGCCAGCTCACCAGCTCACCAGCTCGCCAGCTCACCAGCTCGCCAGCTCGCCAGCTCGCCAGCTCACCAGCTTGCCAGCTCGCCAGCTCACCAGCTCGCCAGCTCGCCAGCTCATCAGCTTGCCAGCTCACCAGCTCACCAGCTCGCCAGCTCGCCAGCTCGCCAGCTCACCAGCTTGCCAGCTCACCAGCTTGCCAGCTCACCAGCTCGCCAGCTCGCCAGCTCACCAGCTCACCAGCTCGCCAGCTCACCAGCTCGCCAGCTCGCCAGCTCGCCAGCTCGCCAGCTCATCAGCTTGCCAGCTCGCCAGCTCATCAGCTTGCCAGCTCACCAGCTCACCAGCTCGCCAGCTCACCAGCTCACCAGCTCAGCTCACCAGCTCGCCAGCTCACCAGCTCGCCAGCTCGCCAGCTCGCCAGCTCACCAGCTCGCCAGCTCACCAGCTCACCAGCTCACCAGCTCACCAGCTCACCAGCTCGCCAGCTCGCCAGCTCGCCAGCTCGCCGCCAGCTGACATCCCCCTGCCTCCTGGTCATGCCTACTCATTTGCATTTCCATATGCTCATGCCTCCTGTTCCTCTTATCTCTGGTTCTTCACATGCTGTCTTTTCCTTGAGCTGAATGTGCGTTCAACTCAGGCCAAGACCGTCTGGCTCCATCCTTTTTATTTAACCTCTCATCGCACTTTCTCCCTCCTCACCACCCTCTCTCTCTCGCACTTCAGGCTTGTTTGTATTGATGAAGGTTCGAAAGAACCGAAACTAGTTTACTCAAGTTCTGATTTTAAGTTGACGATTCTGTTCAAACTGGCTCTCTAAGACGTTCTAGCTCACAAGCTCTCCAGGCTTTCTCGCTTTTTCATATTTCATGGAGTTTTCTTCGTCGTCCTAAGACACAGTTTAAGTTGATGGACATAAGACCTCCGCAGCCCACCTGTTTACCTTTGACAGCTCCATCCTTTTCATTTAACCTCTCATCGCACTTTCTCCCTCCTCACCACCCTCTCTCTCTCCTCCTTCAACCTGCCCACCTTCCCTCCTCTCTCCCTCCTTTCCTCCCTCCTCACTTCCATACTCGTTCCCCCCGACCCCCCCACAACCTTTGCTTTCCCCTGTTGCAGTTCGGCCCCATGGGACCGTTGGATCAGCACGGCTATGCTAGGAACAGATCCTGGTCGTTGGATCCTGCTTCTCCCAACTCGGACCCTGCCTCTCTTGACCTTCTTCTCACGCCCTCACCTGAAGACATGCGCCTCTGGCCGCACAGGTGGGTGGGTAGAGCGGTGGGTGGAGCGGTGGGTAGAGCGGTGGGTAGAGCGGTGGGTAGAGCGGTGGGTAGAGCGGTGGGTAGAGCGGTGGGTAGAGCGGTGGGTAGAGCGGTGGGTAGAGCGGTGGGTAGAGCGGTGGGTAGAGCGGTGGGTAGAGCGGTGGTAGAGCGGTGGGTAGAGCGGTGGGTAGAGCGGTGGGTAGAGCGGTGGGTAGAGCGGTGGGTAGAGCGGTGGGTAGAGCGGTGGGTAGAGCGGTGGGTAGAGCGGTGGGTAGAGCGTGATGGTGGTTGGTTGTGCCACACAGATGGATGATGGATGGCACTTTGCGGCTTGCCTCACTCCCATTCTTCTCACGCCCTCCCCTGAAGACTTGCGCCTCTCGCCGCACAGATGGGGGTGGCTGGTGTTTGTCGTGCGACATAGGGTGTGGTGTGGACTGCAACACACAGTTGTTGGGTGTAGCAAACATGAGAGATGTGAGAGATGTTGTTGGGTGTAGCAAACATGAGAGATGTGAGAGATGTTGTTGGGTGTAGCAAACATGAGAGATGTGCTGTAAAATGCACCTGCCTCCCTCAATTGTCTCCTCACGCCCTCCCCTGAAGACCTGCACATCTGGCCGCACAGGTGGGTGGGGTATGATATATGAAGGTGGTATCACTCAGATGCATCTCCCCTCTCTTCTTTCTCTCTTCTCCTCACGCCCTCCCCTGAAGACCTGCGCCTCTGGCCGCACAGGTGGGTGAGGGTGGATGAAGGTTGTAACACGCAGCTGGGTCAGTTAAAGGTTGTTGCACGCAGGTTGGGGCAGTTAAAGGTTGTTGCACGCAGTTTGGGGCAGTTGAAGGTTGAGCACACACATACACTCCCTTCCCTTAGCTGTCGCCAACGTTTCTGTCCTCCCATTCCCTCTTCCCCCTCCTTTTCTCCTTTCCTCTAGTCCGCCACCACGCGCCCATGCAGCTTTTGTTCTGAGCATGAAGTCCGGTTTAGGAAGAGAAGGCAAGCTGATGTCGTCCATGCCTTCAGACATATTCCCAGCGAGCTGATGTCGTCTATGCCTTCAGACATATTCCCAGCGAGCTGATGTCGTCTATGCCTTCAGACATATTCCCAGCGAGCTGATGTCGTCCATGCCTTCAGACATATTCCCAGCGAGCTGATGTCGTCTATGCCTTCAGACATATTCCCAGCGAGCTGATGTCTTCTATGCCTTCAGACATATTCCCAGCGAGCTGATGTCGTCTATGCCTTTAGACATATTCCCAGCGAGCTGATGTCGTCTATGCCTTCAGACATATTCCCAGCGAGCTGATGTCGTCTATGCCTTCAGACATATTCCCAGCGAGCTGATGTCGTCTATGCCTTCAGACATATTCCCAGCGAGCTGATGTCGTCTATGCCTTCAGACATATTCCCAGCGAGCTGATGTCGTCTATGCCTTCAGACATATTCCCAGCGAGCTGATGTCGTCTATGCCTTCAGACATATTCCCAGCGAGCTGATGTCGTCTATGCCTTCAGACATATTCCCAGCGAGCTGATGTCGTCTATGCCTTCAGACATATTCCCAGCGAGCTGATGTCGTCTATGCCTTCAGACATATTCCCAGCGAGCTGATGTCGTCTATGCCTTCAGACATATTCCCAGCGAGCTGATGTCGTCTATGCCTTCAGACATATTCCCAGCGAGCTGATGTCGTCCATGCCTTCAGACATATTCCCAGCGAGCTGATGTCGTCTATGCCTTCAGACATATTCCCAGCGAGCTGATGTCGTCTATGCCTTCTGACATATTCCCAGCGAGCTGATGTCGTCTATGCCTTCAGACATATTTCCAGCGAGCTGATGTCGTCTATGCCTTCAGACATATTCCCAGCGAGCTGATGTCGTCTATGCCTTCAGACATATTCCCAGCGAGCTGATGTCGTCCATGCCTTCAGACATATTCCCAGCGAGCTGATGTCGTCTATGCCTTCAGACATATTCCCAGCGAGCTGATGCCGTCTATGCCTTCAGACATATTCCCAGCGAGCTGATGTCGTCTATGCCTTCAGACATATTCCCAGCGAGCTGATGTCGTCTATGCCTTCAGACATATTCCCAGCGAGCTGATGTCGTCTATGCCTTCAGACATATTCCCAGCGAGCTGATGTCGTCCATGCCTTCAGACATATTCCCTGCGAGCTGATGTCGTCTATGCCTTCAGACATATTCCCAGCGAGCTGATGTCTTCTATGCCTTCAGACATATTTCCAGCGAGCTGATGTCGTCTATGCCTTCAGACATATTCCCAGCGAGCTGATGTCGTCTATGCCTTCAGACATATTCCCAGCGAGCTGATGTCGTCTATGCCTTCAGACATATTCCCAGCGAGCTGATGTCGTCTATGCCTTCAGACATATTCCCAGCGAGCTGATGTCGTCTATGCCTTCAGACATATTCCCAGCGAGCTGATGTCGTCTATGCCTTCAGACATATTCCCAGCGAGCTGATGTCGTCTATGCCTTCAGACATATTCCCAGCGAGCTGATGTCGTCTATGCCTTCAGACATATTCCCAGCGAGCTGATGTCGTCTATGCCTTCAGACATATTCCCAGCGAGCTGATGTCGTCTATGCCTTCAGACATATTCCCAGCGAGCTGATGTCGTCTATGCCTTCAGACATATTCCCAGCGAGCTGATGTCGTCTATGCCTTCAGACATATTCCCAGCGAGCTGATGTCGTCCATGCCTTCAGACATATTCCCAGCGAGCTGATGTCGTCTATGCCTTCAGACATATTCCCAGCGAGCTGATGTCGTCTATGCCTTCTGACATATTCCCAGCGAGCTGATGTCGTCTATGCCTTCAGACATATTTCCAGCGAGCTGATGTCGTCTATGCCTTCAGACATATTCCCAGCGAGCTGATGTCGTCTATGCCTTCAGACATATTCCCAGCGAGCTGATGTCGTCCATGCCTTCAGACATATTCCCAGCGAGCTGATGTCGTCTATGCCTTCAGACATATTCCCAGCGAGCTGATGCCGTCTATGCCTTCAGACATATTCCCAGCGAGCTGATGTCGTCTATGCCTTCAGACATATTCCCAGCGAGCTGATGTCGTCTATGCCTTCAGACATATTCCCAGCGAGCTGATGTCGTCTATGCCTTCAGACATATTCCCAGCGAGCTGATGTCGTCCATGCCTTCAGACATATTCCCTGCGAGCTGATGTCGTCTATGCCTTCAGACATATTCCCAGCGAGCTGATGTCTTCTATGCCTTCAGACATATTCCCAGCGAGCTGATGTCGTCTATGCCTTCAGACATATTCCCAGCGAGCTGATGTCGTCCATGCCTTCAGACATATTCCCAGCGAGCTGATGTCGTCCATGCCTTCAGACATATTCTCAGCGAGCTGATGTCGTCTATGCCTTCAGACATATTCCCAGCGAGCTGATGTCGTCTATGCCTTCAGACATATTCCCAGCGAGCTGATGTCGTCTATGCCTTCAGACATATTCCCAGCGAGCTGATGTCGTCTATGCCTTCAGACATATTCCCAGCGAGCTGATGTCGTCTATGCCTTCCGACATATTCCCAGCGAGCTGATGTCGTCTATGCCTTCAGACATATTCCCAGCGAGCTGATGTCGTCTATGCCTTCAGACATATTCCCAGCGAGCTGCTGTCGTCTATGCCTTCAGACATATTCCCAGCGAGCTGATGTCGTCTATGCCTTCAGACATATTCCCAGCGAGCTGATGTCGTCTATGCCTTCAGACATATTCCCAGCGAGCTGATGTCGTCTATGCCTTCAGACATATTCCCAGCGAGCTGATGTCGTCTATGCCTTCAGACATATTCCCAGCGAGCTGATGTCGTCTATGCCTTCAGACATATTCCCAGCGAGCTGATGTCGTCTATGCCTTCAGACATATTCCCAGCGAGCTGATGTCGTCTATGCCTTCAGACATATTCCCAGCGAGCTGATGTCGTCCATGCCTTCAGACATATTCCCAGCGAGCTGATGTCGTCTATGCCTTCAGACATATTCCCAGCGAGCTGATGTCGTCTATGCCTTCAGACATATTCCCAGCGAGCTCATGTCGTCTATGCCTTCAGACATATTCCCAGCGAGCTGATGTCGTCTATGCCTTCAGACATATTCCCAGCGAGCTGATGTCGTCCATGCCTTCAGACATATTCCCAGCGAGCTGATGTCGTCCATGCCTTCAGACATATTCGCAGCGAGCTGATGTCGTCTATGCCTTCAGACATATTCCCAGCGAGCTGATGTCGTCTATGCCTTCAGACATATTCCCAGCGAGCTGATGTCGTCTATGCCTTCAGACATATTCCCAGCGAGCTGATGTCGTCCATGCCTTCAGACATATTCCCAGCGAGCTGATGTCGTCCATGCCTTCAGACATATTCCCAGCGAGCTGATGTCGTCTATGCCTTCAGACATATTCCCAGCGAGCTGATGTCGTCTATGCCTTCAGACATATTCCCAGCGAGCTGATGTCGTCTATGCCTTCAGACATATTCCCAGCGAGCTGATGTCGTCTATGCCTTCAGACATATTCCCAGCGAGCTGATGCCGTCTATGCCTTCAGACATATTCCCAGCGAGCTGATGCCGTCTATGCCTTCAGACATATTCCCAGCGAGCTGATGCCGTCTATGCCTTCAGACATATTCCCAGCGAGCTGATGCCGTCTATGCCTTCAGACATATTCCCAGCGAGCTGATGTCGTCTATGCCTTCGGACATATTCCCAGCGAGCTGATGTCGTCCATGCCTTCAGATATATTCCCAGCGAGCTGATGTCGTCCATGCCTTCAGACATATTCCCAGCGAGCTGATGTCGTCTATGCCTTCAGACATATTCCCAGCGAGCTGATGTCGTCCATGCCTTCAGACATATTCCCAGCGAGTTGATGTCGTCTATGCCTTCAGACATATTCCCAGCGAGGTGATGTCGTCCATGCCTTCGGACATATTCCCAGCGAGCT